ATTGCCGCAGCTTATAGAGCCCTTGCTTACAGTCCTGGATCACATAGCCGCAGCTTACAGAGCCCTGGATTACATTGCCGCAGCTTACAGAGCCCTGGATCACATAGCCGCAGCTTACAGAGCCCTGGATTACATTGCCGCAGCTTACAGATCCCTGGTTTACATTGCCGCAGCTTACAGAGCCCTGGATCACATAGCCGCAGCTTACAGAGCCCTGGATTACATTGCCGCAGCTTACAGAGCCCTGGATTACATTGCCGCAGCTTACAGAGCCCTGGAACACAGAGCCCTTGCTTACAGAGCCCTGACATACATTGCCGCAGCTTACAGAGCCCTGGATCACATTGCCGCAGTTTACAGAGCCCTTGCTTACATTGCCGCAGATTACAGAGCCCTGACTTAAATTGCCGCAGCTTACAGAGTACTGGATTACATTGCCGCAGCTTAGAGCCCTGGATTACATTGCCGCAGCTTAGAGCCCTGGATTACATTGCCGCAGCTTACAGAGCCCTGGATTACATTGCCGCAGCTTAGAGCCCTGGATTACATTGACGCAGCTTACAGAGCCCTGGGTTACATTGCCGCAGTTTACAGATCCCTGGATTACATTGCCGCAACTTACAAAGCCCTGGATTACATTGCCGCAGCTTACAAAGCCCTGGATTACATTGCCGCAGCTTACAGAGCCCTGGATTACATTGCCGCAGCTTACAGAGCCCTGGATTACATTGCTTCAGCTTGTTATCTAGCTAGTTCGCACAGCTCGTGTGTCAATGGACTGTGATAAAAAATAGTCTAGGGGTAAATTCACTATCTTTAAAAGTAATACACCAGAGTGCCCCTATGTAGGGCAAACATGGATAATTAAAAAGATCAGGATAAATAACCATGCACATATAAAATATATATGTTATAAAATAATTCAAAAATATATGCAAGTTCTCAATATAACAAATAAGTATTCACTTCAATATCACTAGAGAATAAGATGGCTTATATATACATGGACAAATAGTCTCACCATTAATCTACCCTACTGAACAATAAAACAGTACACAGACTTATCGCTACACGAGGTTCCCAGACTGAAGGTCTCCTCGCTACTGAAGCTCACAGGCCCACAACCCACAACACCCCCCCTCCCTCCTAGACAAAGGTAAAGACAAATGAGTACTTTATTTAACACAAATAAATAAATGAGAATAGTAATTGTGCTAACACAGACATAAATTGAAACAAAATATATGTTACAACATGCAAATGACATTACTAGAAGCACAACAAGTTCATCAAAGGTAAATATAATAGCATGAATATTACAGAGGTGACATCTGGCAACTCAACAGGTGAACACGTCCAAGTTCCTGGTCCAAAAGCTGACTAGACATAGACAGGTGTTAAACAAGTGAATATAGCAAGCCCGCTCCTTCCCCCCAACTATGTTGCCAAGTCCAACTCAACATTTAAGAAATGCATACACATATACATATGAACAAATTAATTACCACAGTTTATCTTACATGAAATATTGTGAGTATCCAAAACTAGGGATACCTAACACAGCTTACATATTAAATATATCCGCCTCGGATATTATTGACCTATAAATATATTAGCGTGCAGAGAGGGAATATTGCCGTGGTCAAGAAAAATCAGTGTAATATTGTTCACTCTTTTGGAATATTCTGAAACAGGTCATGAAAAAAAAGTGTTTGTTTTCAACAACAATTCTATAAATAATTTCGTGAACAAATTTCCAGCAAGAGTTTTATGGCTTCATGTGTTGATGTACTTGTACCGACAGGTGTGCTGATATTAATATATTTGTTAGAAAAATTTATATAATACACATGATCCAGATTTTTTTTATTAAATTATAAAAAATAATATAGCTAGAAAGTAAATTTTAATTGGTGTTTATACTCTCATAACGTCCATATTGCATTAACATCTGTGATAATTAGTATTTAGTGGAAATTATGAATATGTGGAAAAAAATACAAAGGAAGTAGACTGCAGCCAAACTGTGGCCTAAGACCTCAAGTTGTTAATGAAGTACGATATGTTGTTTGCTTCTCACTAACACTCAATAATGTATAGTAGCAGGCATCCTGCAGTCTCGGGAGACTATGGAGGTGCGCTCTGGTTGTCGAGGCTTGAGTGTCCTCTCCAGGGCACAAAGCCAGGGTAGGTTGATATGGAAGAGAAGCTGTTACCCATGCAGCAGGTCCTCCCTGTCTACGTCGCTGAAATATTCAAATGGAAAGGCAAACGCCAATACGCTTGGGTCCAGCGCCGTCGCAGGAGCTGCGAGAATGAGTTATAAGTCAACAACGTACTGCCTTAGGGGCTCCAACTCCGGATTTTCATTTGAGGTTAACTCCTGAAGCATTTCCCAAAAGTGGGTATGGAAGCGAGGCAGCGGAGGTTTGAGATCAGGGCTTTCCTTCCTCTTGATGACTTCCCAGTCTGTCGAATCATGAATAAATTGTTGTCTATTCCATATGTAGTACACAAAATTCTTCTCGAATTACTTCTATTGTTTATCTACTGGGAAAACTTTAATTAAATAATATTCCTAAAAACGATTCTTCGCGGCGGGGATCGTATTCCAGGGACCTGCCCGAAACGCTACGCGTACTAGTGGCTGTACAAGAATGTAACAACTCTTGTATATACCTAAAAAAAAAAAATATTTAAATCATAACATGTGGTGCGAGGAAAGCAACTCATCATCCTGTTTAGAGAGCAGTTTTTGTAACTATGTGCAGCATAGTACAAAGGTTGCCGTTCTAAGCAATTAGACAGCAGAACTTTGTACTATTTTTACTTTGTACTTTCTTTTAAACTCAATAGTACAAACTTAAATATTCCTAGGCCTAGAATAGCACATATATGAACTATACTAGGCCTCAGATATTGTATATTAGGCCTAGAAAGGTTGGGTTAGGTTAGTTTAGTCAGTCTTTGCAACATAAGTAAAAAATAGTTTTCCGGCTTGTCCAACTCAATAGTGCCGATTTCTACTTTCAAATTACGATGTACGTCGGTATATATACTATGGTCCTCATCGTTACTATAAGTACTACCATAACAAGAGGACGGGATGGAGGAAAAAGTATTCAAGCGTACAAGTAAGGTAGAGGCTGGCGGCAGGTTACCCACTACACTGACGCAAAGCAACAGGAAACAGCGAGTAACTGTTAGAGGAGAACATCGGAGTGGCGGTGTTCCACCAGCGGAGTTCCACAGGGCTCTGTACTTGGACCCATCCTGTTTCTAATATATGTAAACGATCTTCCAGAGAGTATAGACTCATTCTTCTCAATGTTTGCTGATGATGCAAAAATTATGAGAAGCATCAAGACAGATGAAGATAGACTGAGACTACGGGACCATCTGGACAAACTGGAGGAATGGTCTAGAAAATGGTTACTAAAGTTCAACTCAGGAAAGTGCAAAGTAATGAAATTAGGCGAAGGAAGCAGAAGGCTGAACACAAGGTACCATCCGGGAGGTGACATTCTGCAAAATTCAAATAGAGAGAAAGTATAGGGTCTAGGAGACCAAAATGGGTAGACCCGTCCTCAGCTGTTTACAATCTCGCTAAATTCCTCATCTCATTTTGAAATCGACATCTCCAAAGAACCAAACATGTTAGACACTACTGGGCAATGGTCATAAAAAACAAAGAGTTACGGAGCCGGTCGGCCGAGCGGACAGCACGCTGGACTTATGATCCTGTGGTCCTGGGTTCGATCCCAGGCGCCGGCGAGAAACAATGGGCAGAGTTTCTTTCACCCTATGCCCCTGTTACCTAGCAGTAAAATAGGTACCTGGGTGTTAGTCAGCTGTCACGGGCTGCTTCCTGAGGGTGGAGGCCTGGTCGAGGACCGGGCCGCGGGGATACTAAAAGTCCCGAAATCATCTCAAGATAACCTCAAGAAGATAGTATAAATGGGTTAAGTCAGACTGGGAAAATGTTGTAAGAGGAGTGCCTCAAGGCTCTGTCCTAGGACCTTTGTTCTTCATAACAAAGGCGGCAGAGAAATTATTTAGATTCAGGTTTGAGCAGCAATATTTTGAAATTTGCCAGTGATGCAAAAATCAGGAGGGAAATAAACACGGAAAAAGACTCACTTATGACTCACCCTCAGCAGTGACTGAGTGAGAAAGACTCACTCAGTCATTGCTTCAAGACGATCTAAACAGGGTTTTGAAATGGTCAAAACATTGGCAGATGCAGTTTAATGCTGACAAATGTAAGGTTTTGAGGCTAGGTAATGATGATAGAGTTACAAGATACGAGCTAGATGGTGTTGAGATTGCGAAGTCGGATTGCGAAACGGATCTGGGAGTTATGATTAGTACGAATTTAAAACCAAAAAATCAATGCATAAATGTACGTAATAAGGCCAATAAAACACTGGGATTTATTAATCGAAGCATTAGTAATAAGACACCTGGTGTTGTTCTTCAGCTATATCTTGCTCTGGTTAGGCCCCATTTAGATTATGCAGTTCAGTCGCCGTACTATAGAATGAATATAAATTCACTAGAACGCTTCCAGCGTAGGATGACAAAGTTAATTCCACAAATTAGAAACCTGTCATATGAAGAAAGATTGGCGATTCTTAAATTACATTCGCTGGAAAGGCAAAGAGTTAGGGGTGACATATTGAGGTGTACAAGTGGATGAGTGTATATAACAAAGGGGATATTAATAGGTATTAAAATTACCCTAAATTATAGGATAATTTATAGAGTATTAAAGAATATCCTATAAATAAATAATATTAAATAATATAGGGTATTCAAATTAAAAAAATAAGTAAGGGTATTAAAATTATAAATATAAGTAAGGGTATTAAAATTATAAATATAAGTAAGGGTAATAAAAGTATCAACACAAGACAGAACACGAAACAATGGGTATGGGCCTGCATGACCATTGTGACTCTGTTCATTAAGTGTGACTGTGTATTTGTGTCTCCGTGCAGGGGGAAGGTCCTCTTCCACAACTACGCTCTGGTCATCTACGATGTTCCTAGCCTGCAGGAGGTTGGCCTCGTCTCCCTCTCCGTCATCCTCAGAGGTAACTGACCACACTGACTGTCCCACTCTTCCCTCACTTGGCACTACTGTCACCCTCCAGTTACTGTTATGCTCACACTTCCTGTTGACACGCTACCACCAAGTAACACATATGGGATTTATTTAATAAATTCACTGAGATATGATCCCGTACAGCCAAGTTAGTCGCAGGCAGACGATGAGTCACAGTAACGTGGCTGAAGATCTGATCACCAAACCACACAAAAGAAAATGAAGAAACAATGACTTTTCAGTCCGTCTGAAGCGAATGACAAAACTTAATGACAGTACACTAAATGGCACTCTTAAGGAACACAAAAGAAGTGTTAAGTCTGCAGACACAAACAATGTTCTATTCTGTCATGTTAGGGGGCTCTAATTATCCTATTGAATGGTCTTCTAAGATAATCTTTCCTGTATCTACTCTTCACAGACGCCCTCTTTTGGAATCGGCTCTGATACACAACCTGCTCAACATGAACCTTAGTCCTGGATTTGTTCCTGTTGACTCTTTGTTGGTGTTTTGTCACAGTATATTCTTAAATGCTCTAACCTTCCTAACAAACCTGACCTGACATAAGCCTACCGCTTTTTCTTTTTCTTGAACTCCTCTTATTCTTACAAATCACATTCTTCCTTCATCGCATTATTACATTCAACCCATTCGCACCTTTCATCCTATTCTTACCCTTTCGCCTTACTCTCATCTTCGTCTAGAATTACTTTCTTCTCTTACCTGCTCGTTACCTCACTCTTCTTATTTATTGCCCGTGCCTTCCTCTCCCAACAGATACAGCCCCGCTCCTGTGCCAGGTAAGTCCACTACGGGCTCACCATAGCCCGTGCTACTTGCCCCGCTCCTGTGCCAGGTAAGTCCACTACGGGCTCACCATAGCCCGTGCTACGTGCCCCGCTCCTGTGCCAGGTAAGTCCACTACGGGCTCACCATAGCCCGTGCTACTTGCCCCGCTCCTGTGCCAGGTAAGTCCACTACGGGCTCACCATAGCCCGTGCTACTTGCCCCGCTCCTGTGCCAGGTAAGTCCACTACGGGCTCACCATAGCCCGTGCTACGTGCCCCGCTCCTGTGCCAGGTAAGTCCACTACGGGCTCACCATAGCCCGTGCTACGTGCAACGTTTTGTTCCCAGTTGCTGAACCTACAAAATAACAACAACATCTCCCAGGTCAGATATACACCTTCATATGCTCCACCACTTACGGGCGACTCATGCCCGTGCCACCTTTTGGGTGGCTTAATCTTCATCGACCAAATCAATTTCTCTCCCATCACATAAGCATTGATAAAGGTCCAGGACTGTCGGGAATTTCCGACAATAATAACTAACCTTTAAAACTAATATTCTAAAATCGATGGCTATCATCTATAACCATCTATCATCTATAGCCATCTATCATCTATAGCCATCTATAAAGCCAACAAACTTTGTAAAATCTCTTTATGTATGTACCTTACCTAAATAAAAATTATTATTATTATTATTATTATAATTATTTTAGTTATACGTTAAGAGAGAGGCCATGTCATGGTTTTCTCTAGAAAAGGAGAATATTAAATTGCGCGTTGATTACATTCCATACTTAAATTATATTAATTAATCTTCAAAGTTACAGTCAGATGGCTGTATTTAATAAAAACTTTTCCCTGTAACAAACAGATTAATCAGTTATTAAATATATTAGGTAAACCGACTTCTTCCGAAATAAAAACCGAACAGTTCTGGACGTACACAGAGCGGGAGGGGGGAGGAGACGCCATTGCTCATGGAGTCTACATGTTATGGGGTCTACATGACCCCATAACTCAATAGTTCCACCTGCTGCTCAATAGTTCCACCTGTGCATCAATAGTTCCACCTGTGCCTCAATAGTTCCACCTGTGCCTCAATAGTTCCACCTGTGCCTCAATAGTTCCACCTGTGCCTCAGTAGCTCCACCTGTGCCTCAATAGTTCCACCTGTGCCTCAATAGTTCCACCTGTGCCTCAATAGTTCCACCTGTGCCTCAATAGTTCCACCTGTGCCTCAGTAGCTCCACCTGTGTCTCAATAGTTCCACCTGTGCCTCAGTAGCTCCACCTGTGCCTCAGTAGTTCCACCTGTGCCTCAGTAGTTCCACCTGTGCCTCAGTAGTTCCACCTGTGCCTCAGTAGTTCCACCTGTGCCTCAGTAGTTCCACCTGTGCCTCAGTAGCTCCACCTGTGCGTCAATAGTTCCACCTGTGCCTCAGTAGCTCCACCTGTGCCTCAATAGTTCCACCTGTGCCTCAGTAGCTCCACCTGTGCCTCAGTAGCTCCACCTGTGCCTCAGTAGTTCCACCTGTGCCTCAGTAGTTCCACCTGTGCCTCAGTAGTTCCACCTGTGCCTCAGTAGCTCCACCTGTGCCTCAATAGTTCCACCTGTGCCTCAGTAGCTCCACCTGTGCCTCAGTAGCTCCACCTGTACCTCAGTAGTTCCACCTGTACCTCAATAGCTCCACCTGTGTCTCAATAGTTCCACCTGTGCCTCAATAGTTCCACCTGTACCTCAGTAGTTCCACCTGTACCTCAGTAGTTCCACCTGTGCCTCAGTAGCTCCACCTGTGCCTCAGTAGCTCCACCTGTGCCTCAGTAGTTCCACCTGTGCCTCAGTAGCTCCACCTGTGCCTCAGTAGTTCCACCTGTGCCTCAGTAGCTCCAACTGTGCCTCAGTAGTTCCACCTGTGCCTCAGTAGTTCCACCTGTGCCTCAGTAGCTCCCTGTGCCTCAGTAGCTCCCTCCACCTGTGCCTCAGTAGTTCCACCTGTGCCTCGGTAGTTCCACCTGTGCCTCACTAGTTCCACATGTACCTCAGTAGTTCCACTTGTGCCTCAGTAGTTCCACCTGTACCTCACATCACGTGTGTTGCTCCTACAGGGTCAGTCCGGATAGAGAGGAACCTGAAGTTGTGTTATGTTGACACCGTCGACTGGAGCCTCATCACCGCCAACCGTCCGGCTCAGAACTACCTCAATGTGAGTATCTGCTGGGAGTTAGGGAGGGCGGGAGGGATGGAGGGGTTTAAGAAGGATGGGAGGGAGAAAGGGAGGGAGAAACGAATTAGAGAGGGAGGGAGAAAGGGAGAAAGGAAGGGAGGAACGAATAAGGGAGGGAGGGAGGGAAAAATTAGGAACGGAGGGAAGGTTAAAGACGAGGGAGAAATTAGGAAGGGTAGGGAGGGAGGGAGAGGAATCCCTCCTGTTCTTAAGATGTTGGAAGGAGGAATTCAGTGGTCGGAAAGGGACAAATCTGATTGATCATGTGATTTTCAATAATGTATAACATATATAATGTTATTTGTTTGAATGATAAAGCACACAAGGACATCTCCATCTGTGCCTGAATAGTTCCACCTGTGCCTCAATAGTTCCACCTGTGCCTCAATAGTTCCACCTGCGCCTCAATAGTTCCACCTGTGCCTGAATAGTTCCACCTGTGCCTGAATAGTTCCACCTGTGCCTCAATAGCTCCACCTGTGCCTCAATAGTTCCACCTGTGCCTCAATAGTTCCACCTGTGCCTGAATAGTTCCACCTGTGCCTGAATAGTTCCACCTGTGCCTGAATAGTTCCACCTGTGCCTCAATAGTTCCACGTGTGCCTCAATAGTTCCACCTGTGCCTGAATAGTTCCACCTGTGCCTCAATGGTTCCACCTGTGCCTCAATAGTTCCACCTGTGCCTCAATAGTTCCACCTGTGCCTCAATAGTTCCACCTGTGCCTCAATAGTTCCACCTGTGCCTCAATAGTTCCACCTGTGCCTCAATAGTTCCACCTGTGCCTCAATAGCTCCACCTGTGCCTCAATAGTTCCACCTGTGCCTCAGTAGTTCCACCTGTGCCTCAGTAGTTCCACCTGTGCCTCGGTAGTTCTACCTGTGCCTCAGTAGTTCCACCTGTGCCTCAATAGTTCCACCTGTGCCTCAGTAGTTCCACCTGTGCCTCAGTAGTTCCACCTGTGCCTCAGTAGTTCCACCTGTGCCTCAGTAGTTCCACCTGTGCCTCAATAGCTCCACCTGTGCCTCAGTAGTTCCACCTGTGCCTCAATAGTTCCACCTGTGCCTCAGTAGTTCCACCTGTGCCTCAGTAGTTCTACCTGTGCCTCAGTAGTTCCACCTGTGCCTCAATAGTTCCACCTGTGCCTCAGTAGTTCCACCTGTGCCTCAATTGCTCCACCTGTGCCTCAATAGCTCCACCTGTGCCTCAGTAGTTCCACCTGTGCCTCAATAGTTCCACCTGTGCCTCAGTAGTTCCACCTGTGCCTCAGTTGTTCCACCTGTGCCTCAATTGCTCCACCTGTGCCTCAATAGCTCCACCTGTGCCTCAGTAGTTCCACCTGTGCCTCAATAGTTCCACCTGTGCCTCAATAGTTCCACCTGTGAAACAATTGCTCCACCTGTGCCTCAGTAGTTCCACCTGTGCCTCAATTGCTCCACCTGTGCCTCAATAGTTCCACCTGTGTCTCAATAGTTCCACCTGTGCCTTAATTGCTCCACCTGTGCCTCAATAGTTCCACCTGTGCCTCAGTAGTTCCACCTGTGCCTCAGTAGTTCCACCTGTGCCTCAATAGTTCCACCTGTGCCTCAATAATTCCACCTGTGCCTCAATAGTTCCACCTGTGCCTCAATTGCTCCACCTGTGCCTCAATAGTTCCACCTGTGCCTCAGTAGTTCCACCTGTGCCTCAGTAGTTCCACCTGTGCCTCAATAGTTCCACCTGTGCCTCATTAGTTCCACCTGTGCCTCAGTAGTTCCACCTGTGCCTCAGTAGTTCCACCTGTGCCTCAGTAGTTCCACCTGTGCCTCAGTAGTTCCACCTGTGCCTCAGTAGTTCCACCTGTGCCTCAGTAGTTCCACCTGCGCCTCAATTGCTCCACCTGTGCCCCAATTGCTCCACCTGTGCCTCAATAGTTCCACCTGTGCCTCATTAGTTCCACCTGTGCCTCAGTAGTTCCACCTGTGCCTCAGTAGTTCCACCTGTGCCTCAGTAGTTCCACCTGTGCCTCAATAGTTCCACCTGTGCCTCAGTAGTTCTACCTGTGCCTCAATAGCTCCACCTGTGCCTCAATTGCTCCACCTGTGCCTCAGTAGTTCCACCTGTGCCTCAATTGCTCCACCTGTGATCAGTAGTTCCACCTGTGCCTCAATAGTTCCACCTGTGCCTCAATAGCTCCACCTGTGCCTCAATTGCTCCACCTGTGCCTCAGTAGTTCCACCTGTGCCTCAATAGCTCCACCTGTGCCTCAGTAGGTCCATCTGTGCCTCAGTAGTTCCACCTGTGCCTCAATAGCTCCACCTGTGCCTCAGTAGTTCCACCTGTGCCTCAGTAGTTCCACCTGTGCCTCAATTGCTCCACCTGTGCCTCAGTAGTTCCACCTGTGCCTCAGTAGTTCCACCTGTGCCTCAATAGTTCCACCTGTGCCTCAATAGTTCCACCTGTGCCTCAGCAGTTCCACCTGTGCCTCAGTAGTTCCACCTGTGCCTCAATAGTTCCACCTGTGCCTCAATAGTTCCACCTGTGCCTCAGTAGTTCCACCTGTGCCTCAATTGCTCCACCTGTGCCTCAGTAGTTCCACCTGTGCCTCAGTAGTTCCACCTGTGCCTCAATAGCTCCACCTGTGCCTCAATTGCTCCACCTGTGCCTCAATTGCTCCACCTGTGCCTCAGTAGTTCCACCTGTGCCTCAATAGCTCCACCTGCGCCTCAATAGTTCCACCTGTGCCTCAATAGTTCCACCTGTGCCTCAATAGCTCCACCTGTGCCTCAATTGCTCCACCTGTGCCTCAATTGCTCCACCTGTGCCTCAGTACTTCCACCTGTGCCTCAATAGTTCCACCTGTGCCTCAATAGTTCCACCTGTGCCTCAATAGCTCCACCTGTGCCTCAATATTTCCACCTGTGCCTCAATAGCTCCACCTGTGCCTCAATAGTTCCACCTGTGCCTCAGTAGTTCCACCTGTGCCTCAATAGCTCCACCTGTGCCTCAATTGTTCCACCTGTGCCTCAATAGTTCCACCTGTGCCTCAATAGTTCCACCTGTGCCTCAATAGTTCCACCTGTGCCTCAGTAGTTCCACCTGTGCCTCAATAGCTCCACCTGTGCCTCAATAGTTCCACCTGTGCCTCAATAGCTCCACCTGTGCCTTAATTGCTCCACCTGTGCCTCAATAGTTCCACCTGTGCCTCAGTAGTTCCACCTGTGCCTCAATAGCTCCACCTGTGCCTCAATTGTTCCACCTGTGCCTCAATAGTTCCACCTGTGCCTCAATTGTTCCACCTGTGCCTCAGTAGTTCCACCTGTGCCTCAATAGCTCCACCTGTGCCTCAATAGTTCCACCTGTGCCTCAATAGTTCCACCTGTGCCTCAATAGTTCCACCTGTGCCTCAGTAGTTCCACCTGTGCCTCAATAGCTCCACCTGTGCCTCAATAGTTCCACCTGTGCCTCAATTGCTCCACCTGTGCCTCAGTAGTTCCACCTGTGCCTCAATAGTTCCACCTGTGCCTCAATTGCTCCTCCTGTGCCTCAATTGCTCCACCTGTGCCTCAATAGTTCCACCTGTGCCTCAATAGTTCCACCTGTGCCTCAATTGCTCCACCTGTGCCTCAATTGCTCCACCTGTGCCTCATTAGTTCCACCTGTGCCTCAATTGCTCCACCTGTGCCTCAATTGCTCCACCTGTGCCTCAATAGTTCCACCTGTGCCTCAATAGTTCCACCTGTGCCTCAATTGCTCCACCTGTGCCTCAATTGCTCCACCTGTGCCTCATTAGTTCCACCTGTGCCTCAATTGCTCCACCTGTGCCTCAATTGCTCCACCTGTGCCTCAATTGCTCCACCTGTGCCTCAATAGTTCCACCTGTGCCTCAATAGTTCCACCTGTGCCTCAATTGCTCCACCTGTGCCTCAATTGCTCCACCTGTGCCTCATTAGTTCCACCTGTGCCTCAATTGCTCCACCTGTGCCTCAATTGCTCCACCTGTGCCTCATTAGTTCCACCTGTGCCTCAATTGCTCCACCTGTGCCTCAATTGCTCCAACTGTGCCTCAATAGTTCCACCTGTGCCTCAATTGCTCCACCTGTGCCTCAATTGCTCCATCTGTGCTTCAATAGTTCCACCTGTGCCTCAATAGCTCCACCTGTGCCTCAATAGTTCCACCTGTGCCTCAATTGCTCCACCTGTGCCTCAATAGTTCCACCTGTGCCTCAATTGCTCCACCTGTGCCTCAGTAGTTCCACCTGTGCCTCAGTAGCTCCACCTGTGCCTCAATAGCTCCACCTGTGCCTCAATTGCTCCACCTGTCCCTCAGTAGTTCCACCTGTCCCTCAGTAGTTCCACCTGTGCCTCAATTGCTCCACCTGTCCCTCAGTAGTTCCACCTGTGCCTCAATATTTCCACCTGTGCCTCAATAGCTCCACCTGTGCCTCAATTGCTTCACCTGTGCCTCAGTAGTTCCACCTGTCCCTCAGTAGTTCCACCTGTGCCTCAATAGCTCCACGTGTGCCTCAATAGTTCCACCTGTGCCTCAATAGCTCCACCTGTGCCTCAATTGCTCCACCTGTGCCTCAATTGCTTCACCTGTACCACTTTAACACTTTAAAAGTGTTAAAGTGATGCCGTGTGTACGAAATTGTCGTGTTCTAGCAGACACCCTGATGTTGGCTGTAAAAAACAAAATAGTTAAGACATGTGGTTCCTACCACAGGTATGAACAATATTAAGAAGTGTCAAGTAATAGTTAAGACTGAACAAATATAAAAACATTATAGGTTTACCAATATATCATGGGACATGCCACCACAATTTTAACTAAATCAATATTAATATATCAAATTATATAAAGGGATTATACAAATACCTGGATACTTAGATCATACCTGAGGTGGTTCTGGGGGTTGATCTACTCTCCAAGACCGGCCCGGGGCCAGGCTTGACTTGTGATAACCTGGTCTAGCAGAGTGGTGCTTGGAGCGGCCCGCGG